TAGCTGAACCAAAAAACAGGACTATGTAGCACTTTAAAGACTAACAAGATGGTTTATTAGGTGATGAGCTTTCGTGGGCCAAACCCACTTCCTCAGCTCAAATAGTGGAAGAAAATTGGCACAACCATATATATCAAAGGATACAATCAAAAAAATGAACACATATGAAAAGGACAAATCAAATTTCAGAACAGAAAGGGGGCAGGGCAGGGGTGACGGGGCAGTGCAGAGGGGACACACTGGTGCCCATGAGGGGAGAAGGTTGTAGCAGTGGGGGAGGGAGATCCTGGTAGCCACATGAAGGGATCGTGGGGCCTGGGATGTGCCCGGCCCCTGGGAGCCAGAGCCGTGGGGCGGGGCAGCTGCCAGAGGCCAAGCCGGGCCGGGCGCTCACCTTGTTGGGGTTGTGGAGTCCGATCCAGACACGGGCATAGGAGGTCGACATGCTCAGGTAATGGGCCACTACGTCCCTTTCTCTCTCACTGAGGATGGAGGCCAGATGGGCACTGGGATGGTGATGCTGACACTGCACCTGCAGCAGGGACATGGGCCAGGCCTGTCACTCTGGGGGAGGACGCCCATTGCCCTTGTGTGGGGTCCTGCCCCACCAGTAGGGCAGGAGCTGGTGAGTGGGGAGAGAGAGTCCCCTCCTGGTGCCTCTTCTTGAGACCCAGGGCCAGGTGCCAGCTGATTCATCTCCCCCATGCCCTCTCCACGACTTCAGCCCCTGTACCCGGGGCCAGTCACCAAACCCACTAACCTGCCCCACCCCATGGATCCTGGACACGAGCCTCCTACCTCAGCCGCCGACCAGGTCACCTTCTGTGGGAAGAACCTAAAGCAGTGGTCTCCGTAGTGCATCCAGCCATGGCGACAGCCTGAGGCCTTTCTCCCCGATCCAGTTGGGAGAGAGCGCTCACGTCGGGGCGAGGCTGTTGTGGAGGCGAGAGAGGGATTGGAGTTGTCAGTAGTTACCCATGTAGTTTCTCCAGACTGCCAAAAATTCTGTGAAACTTTGTCCTCTCCCAAAAAGGCCCCTCTCTCCTGTTGCTTTCAGCAGGGCTGAAGCCCCGAAGCTAAAAGAGCTCCCCTCTCTTGCCCCCTTTCTCTGTGGTGTCTTCATTAGAGATGGCCACCTCCTGTCTTCCGTGCCAGGACGCTGGGGAGATTGACACAAAGGAGCAGCAAGGTGGTGGAGTCTGAATAGACAAGGGACTGTGGGGTGAGGGCGGGGAGCACTGGGTGTCAGGGCGACACTGGTGGGGCAGGGAGCAGAAGGGAAGTTGGGGAACAGTCTCCCAGATGTCTGCACACCAATGCAAGGAGGAGCTCCCTAAAAAGAGGGGGAAGCAGTGATGCCAATTCCCACACGAAGAGGAGGAGGAGGTATTTCCAGGAGAAACTATAGAAATATGAACAGAAATATCCTATCAATAGAAAGCAGAGGAGCCGGTCGGAATTGGGGGACTCCAGTTTCCCGGCTCTTGGTTGGGAAAACGTGAACATTTCACAATGTCCTTGGGCCGTATGAGGAGTGAAGGGGAAGAAGGTCCGAGGGGAACAGTCACCTCAGGGCTAATTCTGACTCACAAGGAGAAATTGGTTGTGGATCTGAGGTTCTAAGGCAGCGAGGAGAAAGTGCCCCTGAACGCGCAGAAGGAGGGAAGGGAAGGAGTGAGCATCGGCAGCAACAGCAATGGCATTGAACGAGGGTTATTTAATAAGCTCAGAACTGGCCGGTGAGGGCTCATGGGAGGAAAGTCGAGGAGAAAAGGGAGTTCCGCAGAGCTGGCCGTGTCTCCAAGAGACGATATTAAAGGTGCAACGGCGCATTCTCCCCACGCAGGGGCTGAGCTGCTGGCCAGGGTCTGGATCGATGGGTCGGGTGGGGCAGGGGCTATGGGGACCCAGCTCTGATGGCTGCTCCCCCACGGTGGGGCTGGCCCCCTGAGTGAAATGACTTCACGTCCCATCGGGGCAAACAGAGCCTGGGGTGTCCAGGCCGAGGGGCCGGGCAGGGACTCACCTTCCAGCGAGGGGTTAAAGATCAGGCAGCCGAGGAGGCAGAGGCTGAAGAAGGCGACTGGGCCCATCGTCTCGCTTCCCTGGGGAGAAAACACACAAGGGGGATGGGCGGGGGAGCCTGACACCCCCCTGGAAAAACTCCACCCCCCCCATGGGGCATTTCCCGGGGAGGGGTTCTGTGGGGGGCTGTGCGCTAAGGAGCCTGGCCAGGCTGAAGGGCCCCCGGG